CCCCCCCCTCCACACACACACACACACACACAGCCACACGCACTCCCACAGCTCAGGCCTTCGTTTTGGAATGTGTTTTGTTGGTTTCGGACTATTTGTCCGTTTTATTCAAAGAGCACTCAATACAGATTGTGACTTACTTCGTCGAGTGCAGGTCACCAAATTCATCAACAATGTGCGAGTGTGCAAATGGGGCCATAGGCATCCGAAGCTAAATCACACCAACGCATCCAAATCACACCGACGCTTCCAGCCCTGAACTTGTCAGCTTACATTTTGGTGAACACAGCTATTTTGCTGCTCCATAGTCTTTGGCAGGGGCTGATCACTCACATTGGTGTACCCAGCCTTGTGCTCTTCAAGGGAGATTTGGTGTTGGTCTTTAGTGTTCATCTAGACAACCTGAGCGCAGACCACTTGGCTGGACGGGCCAAGAAACGACAAAAGAAATAACTCATTAAAGTTATTTTTCAGATCAGTTTTTTATTTTATTTTTTCAATACGAAGGCTACCAGAGTGACCCGGGGGCACTTGCCCGGTCGGGCAAAAATAATAATAATAAATAAATAAATAAATAAATAAATAAATAAATAAATACATAAAATTATTTTTTAACTTCATTAAAGCTTATTTTTTATTTTAAAATTGGTAAAGAATTTCGATGCGACTCTGAGGCAATTTTTTTTCTTTTTATTTTTTTATTTTTTTTCTTTTTTTTCTTTTTTTTTTAACTACGCGACATTCTTCTCTCAAATCTTTCATCATCTTTCACATTTTTTCAATTGACCTTCACTACCTACCTACCACTACTCCTAAGGCTTACTTATACAGGGGACCCTGAGGCAAAGATCGCTTAGTTTATTATCCTCTATAACATAGGTTGTTTTCAGGTTTTTTTTTTTTTTTTTTTTTTTTTTAAATTTGGTAAGGAATTCGGGTGTAATGCTCGGATAAATCTTGTTTAATTTATTTCTCTCCATAACATTTTTTTTTTTTATTTTTTTTTTTTTGGTTTTTTTTTTTTTTTTTTTTTTTTTTTTGCCCAAACCTTACCTGGCCCTTGCCCGCCTGTGCCGGGCAGCCGCGGGCGGCCGGTTGGTAGCCCAGGTGTTTATAACACACACACACACGAGGACACACGCCGTCTTTGGGAGAGAAAACATCTGAAAAAAAAACATAACGCAGCAGACTTCTTTTGTCAGTACTGCTAACAGACGGATAGAGTGGAACTGCTGATAACTGGAAAGACTACAAGATAGATTTCAACCACTGAAATAAAACCTGCATGAAGTTGCAGACCCCTCAGAGACACCTCCTACCCATCAATAAATCGTGTCGAGAATTTCACATTTTACCCCTTCACTTCCCAACCTACCTTCTCTCTCTCTCTCTCTCTCTCTCTCTCTCTCTCTCTCTCTCTCTCTCTCTCTCTCTCTCTCTCTCTCTCTCTCTCTCTCTCTCTCCGCGAACAAACATCAAACATCAAACAGACACATGAATTTTTTTCTACGTCCCTCCCTCCCTCCTTACTCTGCCCCTTCATTGTTTTCCCCCTCCTCCTCCCCCTCTTCTTCTCCCTCATCCTCCGTTTCGCTCAACTTCCCAAAATTTTCTTCCCCATATCTGTTGTTCAAGTACTCCACAGCGGACTTTGTAAACACGACCTTGTCTGCTCGCAGTATGTCGTACACCGTCAGCGTCCTTGGAGTTATCAGCTTCAAGTTCTTCAGATTCCGACTCGACTTATAGACATTCTCGTTCATCGTTGTCGTCATCACAAGCGCATGGTCCCCGCTAGCGATTCCAAGACGATTGAGGAAGGCGATGAAGTTCTTCGTTTTGGGACGCTGGTCTGCAAACTGTTCGTCGAAATCCTCCACGACCAGTGCGTTGGGCGCTGCACTCTGGATGGCTGTGCTTATTCCCAACTGTTTCTCTTTTCTGTTAATCTTCACGCTCCAATCTCTGGGCTTGGGTCCAAAAATAACACCGCCCCCTCTTGTCAGTGGCGTGCGCGTCGATCCCCTTCGGGCCCTTCCTGTGCCTTTCTGCTTGTAGGGTTTCCTGCCGCCTCCCCTGACCTCAGCACGCGTCAATGTGCTGGCTGTCCCTCGGCGCTTATTACGCAATTCTGTGATTACCCCTCTGTGGATGACGGCACGTGCGGTCTGCTTGCTTGCCACCTTCAGGTCCATGGTCACTTCGGACCCAGTTGCCGCTCCATCGAAGGACAAGACGGGGAGAGTCGCCGCGTCCATCACCCACCTCCCTCTCCCCACCGCTCTCTGCGAAGACTCTGCAGACCTTGCAAAAGAAGAAGACCAGATGCTGGCAACATCGCGACGAACGCCACACTGTACAAAACCATCGGCGCGCTTCAGCCCATGGAATGCCGGGCTCATCGACTTGCGCATGCAGGCTGCGCTAGACCTCCTCACGCCTCCTTGCTGCTGCTGCTGCTGCTGCTGCTGACGCTGGGCAGTGCGATCACAGGATAGGCACAGACGACCTGTCGAGCGTGGCACCGACACCGCCATCATAGATCCCATTGCAGCAGCCATGGTGCCAAAGGAGTGCGCAGCTTACTGACAAGAATCGACCAAGCAACAAGCTTGAGCTACCGACAAGAATCGCTTGCTACCTACCTGACCGTCTTGGCACAAGGGACGGGCAGCAGCTGTCCATCAACCCAGAAACGCCTGGGCAAGGCTGCCACCGAACTCGGCCCACCTGCTGACACAGCAGATCAAAAAAGACAAAGGCAGCGTATCCAAGTCAGAATCTGCCATACCATGGAGTGTACTACGGTGAAGGAAATCTGTCATGCCAGTAGCGGACGGGAACAGTGGGTGGGGCACTGCGTTTTCGCGGTTGTCACGGTCGCGTGAAGGACGGGGGTGTCCGCACTGGCATTTAGCCTGAGCTTCAAGGAGTTGTCACGAGCTTTCTGGCTACGGACGATATCTCGGTTTGTTGCTAATGCTTACAGCCACGAGCTGTTTCGCGTGTTATGCGTTTGGCATGATTTCAGTGTGACTCTGTGTGACATGATTTCATTGCATTCATCCTATTGCTAAGAGAGTATATGACCTTAAGCTCTGTGCGCGCTGCCAGTGAAAAACAGGCCATCATCATGAAGCCTTCTGTATTTAGGGATGCAACCAATTATTGGTCGATAATTCCATGCACACTGGCATGAACATGCCTGAGAAGCCAGTCAGGTTCGTGCTGACAAAAAAATCATCCGCCAGTACGAGAACGGCTTGCACCCTCAGAGGAAGGGGGCTTGAACCCTCAGAAAAAAACGTTATTGATAAGGCTGTGTGTGCCCTGCCAGTGAGTGAAACAGGCCATTATCATGAAGCTTTCTGTATTTAGGGTTGCAACTTGCAAACCAGTTGTTGGTCGATAGTTCCATGCACACTGGCATGAACATGCCTGAGAAGCCAGTCAGGTTCGTGCTGACAAAAAATTCATCCGCCAGTACGACAAAGGCTTGCACCCTCAGAGAAAGGGGGCTTGAACCCTCAGAAAAAACGTTATTGATAAGGCTCTGTGTGCGCTGCCGGTGAGTGAAACAGGCCCTCATGAAATCTTCTGTATTTAGGGTTGCAACTTGCAACTCCTTGTTGGTCGATAATTCTATGCACATTGGCATGAACATGCCTGAAATTCCTGTCAGGTTCGTGCTGACCTGCCACAAAAATTACACCCCCAAATGGCACAGGCTCGAACCCTCATGAAAAGGGGACTTGAACCCTCAGAAAAACAGTTATTTGATAATCAAACAGAAACGCAGCTGGCAAATTGCAGCCATGTCCATGCCCACTGCAACCATCCGTCCATTTCCATGCCTACTGCAACCATCCCTGCATGGCTGGCTGTTGACACCATCCCTCCCTCCATGGCTGGTTGTTGAAATTTACTTGAAACCATCACTTACCAGAAATCTTTGAAGAAACAGTTTGAAGAAACAGTTTGAATAAACAGTTGGCACTCACAATATAGACAAAGGTAGGTTCCTCGGGACATCCGTTATAATTGGAACGATACAAGTAGAATGGAGATTGAAATTCCAGAAAACAATCTCTCTCTGTGTGGAGATCTCATGGTCCATAAATCTCTCTCTCTCTCTCTCTCTCTCTCTCTCTCTCTCTCTCTCTCTC